CATGTCAGAGTAAAGCTGGAGGCAATTGATTCCTTGCCAGATTTTTACATCACTCTGCCAAAGAAAATCACTAAGATTGCCAATATTATTTGACTGAAATATGAAATAGGTATAGTGACATTAACTGATATGCTATATTCTGGACTTTTAATTTGTACAGAAAGGTAAATAAGAATAGTGAACGATGAAACAAAAACTAAGTATTCTGAAAACATGCACTCAGGGATAAAATATCTAAACTAAGCTATAAGTTATAACTGGTAAAATGTAATGATAATAAAAAAATAGTTCCACAGGTTAATATGCTAAACTAAACTCACAATAATTGTATTAATGATTGGAGTAAGGAAATGTCTTTAAATAATTGCTTAGAGCTTTTTAATAAAAAAATTACTGAAGACTAATTTTCAAAACATCTGCATTTTTATAAACTTTCCTTCTAAGTTGAATTTATAAAATTTAGACAACTTACACAGAATAATATTTTTGTTGTTTTTAACATAATACAAATTATATAATCATTTCTTTACCATGTTTGAATTATTTCAAATTTTAAATTGGTGGGGTCTCTGGACTGTGGAGGGATATGTAAATGTTTGATATGAATTCATTCATTACATAGAATCTACTTGGTGCCCAACTCTGTGTCCTATAGTGTCAGACTCTGAGATACAATAGACAATAAGACAATCATGGCCCTACCCTCATATCTGTTTTTCTGAGTATTAAGATAAAGAGAGAAGGAAAGAAAGAATTGTGTTTGGTTAAATGATGCCTGAAAAAATATGTGAATTAACTTCCAAAGAATGGGGTAGCAGTTAATGCAGTGAATCAAGTAATCGCACACGTAAATCCACTATCAAGGACAGAGACATGCTGACATGAAGGCAGAGGTAGTTATGGGCAGGATTGATGCTCATATGGTCAGTGTCATCCTCTGTGAACTTGGGCAAGTCCTTTCTTTTGTCTGCTTTTCAATTTCTTATTTCTAAAAACACAACAATCACAACAATTCCTTGAACTTGTTAAGACAAGTGAACAGATATGATGTAGTGGGGTGTGGCTGTAAATTGGGAATACCCTTTCAGCAAACAATCTTGCAATTGCTGACATGAAGGCAGAGGTAGTTATGGGCAGGATTGATGCTCATATGGTCAGTGTCATCCTCTGTGAACTTGGGCAAGTCCTTTCTTTTGTCTGCTTTTCAATTTCTTATTTCTAAAAACACAACAATCACAACAATTCCTTGAACTTGTTAAGACAAGTGAACAGATATGATGTAGTGGGGGGGGAGAGAGTGGCAGGGGGGAAAGGGGAATGGGTAAAGGGACATAAAAATCAACTGTAATATACATTGAGAAGTTAAAATTAAAAAAAGAAAAAGTGAACAGTAGGACCAGATCTTTTAGGTCCCTTTCCAATATTTTATACTGCATATTAGATGACTAGGATAGAAAGTTTCAATTTTCACTCTGAACTGCATAGTCAGTGTGCCAGAGGTTGGATTTCAGTTTTTACATCTAGGTATTGTAAGATGGGGGATTAAACTTGGGGATTCATGCTGGTAATCTTTCCTCCGTATAAGACCAATCAAATATTTTTATTCAGGTATCTAGTACAAAGTTTCTTACCCCTTCCCCTCAACCTCAATAGATTACTCTTGATGTAGAAGCAAGATAGAGATATACTAATGAAAACAGAGCTAGACAATGGGCACCCCTTGTTAACTTCAAAAGTCAAATCCATTCTGTTCCCATGATGCTTTCTGCTTAGGATTTAGGGAAATAACATAAGGAAGGTTCTAGTCTAGGCTGTGTGTCCTTAGTATTTTCAAGCTCTGAAGGAAAAAGAGGTAATGTTTATGCTGGGGGATGGGAAATGAGACAGGTAGGAGACAGAAGGAGCTTGGGCCAAGAAGCTTAATAGGGCTGAGAGGCAGGCAGGGAGAAACTAGATCTTTATGGCTTGGATTAGAAAAGTTGGTAATTCCATGATACACATGGATATGAAAATAAATCCTTTTGATATCCTGCTTCTCTGATGAATGTGGTTGACATGGCCAGACACAGGTTTAGAATGCAATTGGCCTGGCATTTTCAGTGCCCAGAGGAAAAGAGTAAGCCCAGGCATCTGGGAGAGAAATTAAGCCAACCCAAGCTGACTGTGTAACAAGTTTTTTAATCTTAAGGCAAAAGAACAGAAAATAAGGAGGGCGCAAACACAGAAAAAGGCATGGGCTCAGAGGATGGGCCTTGGCGAGTTGCCAGAGCTGAAGAGCAGAGCTACAGCTGCCATGTTGAATTCAGTGGCCCACTTTCAAAAATACCCAGGCTCATCACTTGTGGTAATCACGGGATCAACACATACTTTTATTAAACCATGAAATCATAGGAATTCAAACAAAATTGAACAGAAAATAGTACGTTTTCTATCTGTGCTCTTTATTAAATTACTGTAATCTCCTTGACACATTTGCAAAAGTGTCTGGGAATATGCCTGCCTCATTCTTAAATTCGTGGTGAGTGTCACTCTCTCTTCACCTCCTTATTTCTTCTTCATCCGTGATTTTTATGGGAGGCAGCAAGATGTCTTCTTTGTATTAAAAGGGAAGAAAACTTGGAAGAATTCAAAATTTTATTTCAGACCTAAAATAAATGAGACATTTTTGTTCATTCTTTAGTGTATTTGTCTAAATGAGAGCAGATATGGGGGATGAATGTAATACCTATTCGATGCTTTGAATGGCTTATTGCCATAATTATTTAAAGTCTTTCTATTTGATCATTAGAAATATAAAATGTAAGTCTTAATTTCCACTTTGGATACTTGAAAAGAAAAGAAAATCTCACCATGACAGATCCTAAATTCAAAGAAAATTACAGTTTTTCTTTTCTTAATTGAGAATATTCAGAGAAACAAGATGCTCATGAACATTTTTTGAAATTATCACCTGAAGCAGTAACTATCAAGCTGTTTTGGCAAGTGCTGCTTGTTTGCATTTTTAATAATATTTGTGGTATTCTGGACTTTGTACAGAAAAAGACTAAATTGCTTAGTTTACAATCTTGGAGGATGCTGCTATTTTGCTTGCTTTTACTTGCTAGCAGGAACCTACTGGCAAAGATGATGCAGGAATAGGTCTTTTATAAATGATTCAAGGCAAAGGATTTAAAATCAATTTGTGTTTTGTGTTTGAAGATTACTATAAAATAAATATTTAACACAGAAATAATGTAGCATTTTGATTTTCTTTTTTTACAGAAGAGATATTGATACTTATTTTCCCTTTTTCTAATACAAATAATACATACATACTTAATCCTTTTACAGTGAATTGATCATTTTTACTCTTTTCGCTTGGCTAGTTTAAGTGTTCTTTTGCATGAAATATTAATCTTGACATTTAGGAGCCATTCGTAATAAAGAGATTGATGGACTTGCTTGGGGAAGAAAATGTAAGTAGTTTAATGTAGTTTAATGACAGAGTGATAGAAGCTAATTTAGAAAATCACAGGCTAAGTAGAATTTATGTACATTTTGGGAGGACAAGAACGAGATTAAATGAAGGAACTAAGGCTTTGCATAACACCATAATGTGAAAGTTGTTAGGTAAGATAATATCTTGATGTTTCTTTCTTGTGAATTTAAGGATCTCAGAAGTTTTACCTCATTAGCACCTTTTACTTATGGCTGTCTGATGAGAGCTAGAATTTCAAGAGGGTCCATCTGAGGTATAAGATTTATTCGCAACCCTTCTTCCTCCACATTTTTCACGTCTTTGCCAGTTGAACTGAATCAAAAAAGAATGCTATATTTAATTTCATGTCTAAAGAAATGAATTTCTAGGAAGTTTATTGTGTATAATAATGTCTGAAATCAAACATTCTGAATTTATTGAAAGTCAGTGTGGTTTCATTGCTTTGTGAGTTTCAGGGGCATTTTAAAGATTTAAAACAAAATTATATATAGTTTTTTTTTTTTTTTTCTTTACCACAGATTCAATGTATGTTTAAGAAATTCCTTAAGTTATAAAATCTTTACGAAGAATAAACATTTGGTTCTATACTGTTTAGGAAGTGGTTGTGGTACACTGAAATTCTCAAACTGGAGTATTTTACTGGAAAAGAGTTAGGCTTATATCATTTCTTTGACTAAATAATATTTTGGAAGCCATATAAACCATATATGCTTTAAAAAAAAAATTCTTAGGTTCTGAAATAAAATGATGCATTGGTAAGAAAGAACTAATATTTTACTCGGATATAACATGAAGTCAGTTAGTATTCAAAATGACAAGGCTATTCATATTATGATTTATAATTTTATCTCCATTTTATATTTGTCTCTATATCTGTGGATAAATCTATGAAGAAATATTTAGCTATCCAATTTGTGAAAGAGTGCTGACTAGATGGGTTCAGTGAAATAAAGATCCATTATTAATTTTAAACTAATAGATTTTTCCACTTTTATCACATCGATGTATTATTTGTAACATGAAAGAGTTAAATAAATGACTGTTTTCATGTTACATTTTTTCTCCCTTCTTTCCCACATTTACTGTCCTCTTGTTTTCTTTTTTAGTTCTTTTTTCCTCTTAAACGTTGTCTACCCTATTTGTTTATATACTTATCTTTCTTCCCAAAATACACACTTTCCCTTCTCTACTTCTTGTTCACTTCATGTACATTTAATTTCTTAAAAAATTTTTACTCTGAAATACATGGTTTCTTTTTCTGGGGCGTATCATTCATAAGTGTTCATCTTTGAGTTATGGTGGAGACAATGAATAAAAATTTTTAATTTCCTTAATTTAAAAAGGGAAATAAAAACTTTTGTGATTCTCCTCTCCCAATGATTCATATTGAGCTCTTCCTCTCAATACTCTATATCAAGGCTACAGACATTTCGAAATCTGAATTAGTTTTCTTTGATGATTTTTGCTCCTGGCTACTTTCTATTTCTTCATTTTTTAAATCTTTCTATTTTATATCGTACAGTGGGAAGAGATTGGTGAAGTTGATGAAAATTATGCCCCTATCCACACATACCAAGTATGCAAAGTTATGGAACAGAATCAGAATAACTGGCTTTTGACCAGTTGGATCTCCAACGAAGGTGCTTCCAGAATCTTCATAGAACTTAAATTTACTCTGCGGGACTGCAACAGCCTTCCTGGAGGACTGGGGACCTGTAAGGAAACTTTTAACATGTATTACTTTGAGTCAGATGATGAGAATGGGAGAAACATTAAGGAAAACCAGTACATCAAAATTGATACCATTGCTGCTGATGAGAGCTTTACAGAACTTGATCTTGGTGACCGTGTCATGAAACTGAATACAGAGATCAGAGATGTAGGACCTCTAAGCAAAAAGGGATTTTATCTTGCTTTTCAAGATGTCGGTGCTTGCATTGCTCTGGTTTCTGTGCGTGTGTACTATAAAAAATGCCCCTCTGTGGTACGACACTTGGCTGTCTTCCCCGACACCATCACTGGAGCTGATTCTTCACAGTTGCTCGAAGTGTCAGGCTCCTGTGTCAACCATTCTGTGACAGATGAACCTCCCAAAATGCACTGCAGCGCTGAGGGGGAGTGGCTGGTGCCCATCGGAAAATGCATGTGTATGGCAGGATATGAAGAGAAAAATGGCACCTGTCAAGGTAAGAGTTTGCCTGCGGATCTTCAGGGGCTGTCTGCTTGAGCTGGATCATGTATATGTATGTCCTCCAATGATTATGAGCAAATGACCTTTTACTTTGCTAATTTATGGAGATTATTTCTCTTCAAGTTTGATTTCTCTCTTCTCAGAATTTTAAAATTTCTGGCAATGATGAAAGATTTAATGTAATATTTTATTGGCTATACATAATTAATGCTCAGAGAGTGTCTGACTTGCAGTGTAATATTTCATATTCATTTTGCTTTTACAAGTTTTATTTTTGAACAACCCAAACTGAGGGATTAGTAACTTTCTTTGCATGATTATTGTCTCCTATTGCTATTTTCTCTCTGAGAAGTTGTTTCCTAATCTTTACTTGCTGTATAAAACTTAAAGGCAAAATCTTAAATGAGACTTATTTTTGCATGCTTTTCACTGCCTTCTAGAATCTTTTTAGAAATAAGTTCAGCCATATGAATGTCACAGCAAAACATTTGTAAGCTGACAAGACTTAGTTTACTATGTTGTTATATATGGTTGCTATGACATGCATGCTTTAAAAAATATACAGATCAATTTTATATGCAAAATAAGCAGTGTCCCACAAAAATAACTGTTGAGAGATAGAGCAAATACAAAAAGGTCATTTCAAAGCAATTTGCACTTGGAGATTTTTTTCCATTTTAATTTTTCTTTTAAATTGAAACTTGATCATGCATACTTCCCTCTTTATTTGAAAATGCCTTCATTTTTCCCAGTGTGGTGAGTTGCCCTTTTAAACTTGGATAGTTATCAATGGCTCTCTGGAACATGATAGTACTCTATGAGTTTGTGAAAAAGAACGGCTTAAGGGGAAGAACACAAACATTTTGCTAAAAGAAAATTATTTGTTCATATGAATCTGAACTTGTTTTTACTATGATGTGTGTGTACTAAATAGGTATTGGGAATTAATGTGTATTAACTTAGGGAAAAACCAATGCTGAGCTGTCTCTTAGTCCCACCTAGTAGCTTCAGATGCATTTTTCTCCTAACTCCACTATATTATGGGACTCAAAGTTGCTTTTTTATCCAGGCTTGACCGTAGATTGATTATAGGTACAGGGAAACAAAACTAGGAAAATTACCCGAAAATCATGATGGCTTTGGCTAATTAATTCTCTATGGAAATACGTTGCACTGTACTTCAATTTCCTTTTTCAGCATTAGTTCCTATCTTGTATCCTTACAATACCATTTGCAATTAATTCTATGGTTCTTTTTTCCATGTAATCTACAGCTCTCTACATCTGATTTGTGTATATATGTATATATGTACATATACACACACACACACACACACACACATACTCATATGTATCTGAAAGTTTTGTTAAATTGAAATTATGCTTCTGAAATTTAAATGCTTATAAGTTTGTCAGAGAAATGAATCATAGTTTGTTCAGGATTGGTTTTAAAGGTAGGTTCCAACTAACATTATCTTAACTTTTCTTTTTGAGCAGCCATAATAAGGTTTAAGGTGAACTTATGTGGAACTGTAGGATCAGAAGCAGGAGTTAAATACAATCCATTAAATACTTTTCAGTCTAAAATATTGTAAATATGAATTTTACTGATTATTTCTAAAAAATGGTTTGTTAGTATTGTAAAGCAAATCCTCTATTTGATTACTTGTTTACATCATTTTATAGAATATGCAGTTTCTCTAGTTCAGACCACAGTGACCTTTGTCTTCATGCAATCTTACAGAGGGCATGAGAGGCCTCTGCATTTTTAAGAGGATAAATTTTGATTGTTGATGAGATTGAAACATTCTGCTGGTATTTACCATGAACATGTCTTGGAAGAGTAGTGTTCTGACAGAATGTTTCTTTATGCAAGCATTTGACACGTATCATTTCTTCTTTCCTCACACTCTTAATAATTGAGTAGAGGCCTAATTGAGAGACAGTGGCATGAACTGAGAGGTTGCATTGTAGAAAACTTTACTAAAATGGACTCTGTCTTAATTCGTGCATTGATCACCCCACCGTGGTGGTAGGATCAATGGCTGCACATGTCATGCAGTCTATAGACTACCCAGGCCTGAGAGTGTTCTGCACAATATAGTGTATAGGCAAAATGCCTCTTGGTGTTTTACAATGTACAAATAGTATGTGGCCACTAAAGGAGGAAGTAGGAAGAATTTCAGATGTTTATGACTTATTGAATGACTAACTCATTGAATGAATACAGAAATGTTTAAGGTTTGCTTTGGACAATTAAAATATGGCAGATATCTTGAAATATTTATATGTATTCATAATATGTATATGTAAGTGTAACTATGTGTGTGCATATAAAATGCCACCATGACTCTAACTCATTCTATGACCTTAACGTGCTATCCTCAGATGTGCTGTAAGTGGGGATATTGATGATTTGGAACTATCCTTCTTGATAGGCCAGAAGTCTACTATTCTTGAATCTCCTTCCTACTCACTACCCAGTTCCAATGCATTATAAAATATTTATAGAGTTTACCACCCAACTATCTCTTAAAATCATCCACTTCTATTACCTTTTTCCTTCTATTTAGAAGCATTCCTTGTTGGAACTTTGTTTTTAAATATAATGAATGGTTTTATATATAGTTTTGATTTTCAAACCGTGTGTATGTATTACCTATAGAGATATGAAAATCTGTTGTTGTTTCACACAGTTTCACCTTCCCCCCACCACCACACACAAAATACACACTTTATACACCTCAATAAATTCCTTTAAGAAAATGTTTTTATAAAAGCCTAAAACCCTGCATGGTTTTGCTCCTATTATTTCTCTAGGCTAGTCTTACATTTAAATAAATAGTCACATATTTTTCCTTTATAAAACCATTTAGAGTTATGATTTTGTACCTATTCGTTGATTTATTATTTGATTAATGATACTGCCCACCCCTATTAGACTATATACTCCTTGTACTCCTTGACAGCAGGGGTGATGCATGTTAACTCAAGGAATGGGAAAGAAATCAAAAGGCAAGAGAAAAGGAAAGTGAATTCAAAAGTGAGTCAAGAAATGTACAAAGGCATAAGAATACTGTTTTTTAAAAAAACTGTGTTTTGTTGATTGACTTTGTTTGTTTTTATCTGTAGAAAATCTCCTTGGTCTGAAAATAGACAAATATGCCCTTTAAATTGATCTTTTCCTAGTCCTAAGTCTCACAGGCTGAATTCTCAACTTCCAGGTATTAAATCATCTATGATTGGTACTCCATTTATAAACTGTTGTAAGGGCCATCTTAGTAAATATTATAGGACCCAAATTACTATATATTTATGTATAATTACAATATGGCCTTATTATCTAATGACATCTAAGTATTTAGTTTCTTTGATAACCAAACTATGTTAGGATTTAAGTAAGGATAAAATTATATTAAGAAGCAAAAATTTGAATATATCTGTTGTAATCATTACTACATATTAATATTTGCTGAGTCTGTGCTGGAAGGTGACTGGGTAGTCGCTGTCAGATCATGCCCATGTAACCTGTTATATGTGCAGGGTATGGTGGAGTTGACTCAAGGCTTGTTAGAGAATAAACCTTTAGGTTCAGAATGCTAGGCTGCTCATTAACATGTGGCCTCTACCAGAAGACAATGAGTGATACAGGAGTCCTGGTAAATTTAGCAATTTGTGATCTGTCATCTTCATACAACTGCCTTTCATTTATCTTCGTGTAAGAGAAATAGACTATCTGACTCGTAATAATCTGGTTTTGACGAAGTAACAAAATACACTGGTGTCTATTGTATTAGTTTAAAATATAGTGTATATTTATTTTTGTAAGGCTTACTAATATGCCAAAAATTTCAATAGTAAACTGTTTTATGTATACAAATTTATTTGAAATGTTTTTTTCAGAATCAAATAATGTCCCCAATCCATTTATTCAAGTATGTTTCCCTACTTGTTATATATTATTATTTCTGATGAAATCCATGCTATATATATAAATATATATATATTTTACTTAAGAGTCATGTGAAATTTTTTTTGAGTACAAAATGGTTAGCAAAAGCCCATTTTGGAAGTTGCTGCTTTTTATTGAAGTGAATGTGTTTGACAGAAGTAATTGAGTTCACATGAATCAAATGTTGCCTGCTGAGTTCTCTTGTGATTATGTTGTTGACTTACTCAAATGCAAGGCAAGACCACTAATCTTCATCAGTTGCTACTGGAATGAAGAAGTAGTTTGAAATTAGCCCTAGATAATTATAGTTTCACTTATATCAAATGGAGGAAAGAGATTTAGATTGTGGGTCACTGCCAAAACCAGTCAGTGTGAAGAAGGTATATAGTGCATGCAAAAATACAGGGTAAGGGGGGTTATACATCAAGTGCTATGGAGAAAAAGCACTTATTAATTGTCCAACTGGGAGATGATTGCACAGCAAGCAAAATGTGGTGAAAATACCCGACTCGTGAAAAAGCCTTGATTCAGAAACAGTACAGATACAGCAGGGTGTAGTGTGTCGATCATTCATAGTTCTGGTGCATATTTATGATTGGAACAAAATTGGCTGGAAATATAGTGTTTTAGGTGTTCATGTAATTATGCATTGGAGAGCCTAGTTATTTTTAATTAGGCACATTACCGAAAAAACACCAAAGGGGTAGAACTTTTGGTTCCATTTGGTATATTATATGCAATAAAAGGAAACTAATTTTAATTTCAGAATTTGAACCTGGGACAGCAATTATGGAAGTACAAAGTATCAGTGGGGTGTGTGTGCACGTGTGTGTGAGTGTGTGTGTGTGTGTATGTGTTCTGCTGCTGAAAAAAGCCACAAAGGCAATTAAGTCATTCACCCATTTGCAGGTACTACATATGAGAATAATAAAAATAGGTGACATTTTTTTTTCTTTTGAACTGCTCCCTGGCCTACTACACTTGAATTAGTTCTATTAAAGTTTTATAGCATACTCTGCATTTGGTTTTGGTTTTGGTTTCTTC